ACCCAAGATTCCTTATGCATATAGATTCGGTTTTAACCGTCAACTAGGTGCTTATAATTTTCCTTTAACAAAACACTACCTACATTACTTAGGCATGAACAAATGAATTTTTAACATGCTGTCTTCGTCCCTTTTAGCACATGCAAGGTCTAATAAAATTTTCTAATCCAAGGAGAAATCCCTAAACTCGAGATGAGCTATATTCCAAGCTCACAAATCATATTTTTGTGCTTGCTTGCACTAGGTTCAAGGACTGTTCGAATGGGCAGTAACAAGAGAAAGGAATGACAAAACAAAAAAATACATCTTCCTTGCATGCATGTGATGACCGAAACAGAGTGTAGAAAAGGAAGGGCTTGAAACTCAGATTTACCTCCTTGCAGGCGTCAAGGGTTAGCAATTCAGGTGGAGGGCAGCAACCCCACCCTTCAACTCTTCAAGAGATCGAATTTAGGATCCTTGAAGGTTGATCTTCGTCCGAACAAGGGAGAAAGGATGAAGGATAAGCTTATGTTGCAATCTCCTGGGTTGCTGCAGCTCGGCCGAACCAGTGAGAGAAAGAAGATGGGAGCTTAGATGGTGGTCCTTCTCTTAGGGAACTCACGGTTTTGTGAGGAAGAGGAATAGGCTGAGTTTAGATTCTGAATCAAAGCGTGCACTATCAGTTTTGGGTTGTTACTTTGGTTATGCGCATAGAGTGAAAGAGACTAAATTGGTGCTGATTGTATTTTTAACAGATGATCAGAATATCACTTTGTTTTCCTCCTATTATGCGCACAAGGGTGAAGTGATGAGAGGGAGTGTTTGTGGCTTTTGACCAATGAGGAAACATGCATTCAGATTTTGACCAATGAGGAAACATGCATTCAGATTTCATTGAGATATGTTAAAGGATTAGCTAAGAGTTTTGGGCTGACTTGGCCTTCCCCCAAAGCATTTGGGCCGTAGCCCATAGGAGATAGATGGGGTCCAATTTCACCACCTAATGAACATCATTTTATGTAATCTACTAAATAGTAACTAGGGTTTTTTTTTGTATGTTGTAATTAAATAAATCCTAACCTACACCTACATGTAATTCGTTCTCAAGACACGCATCCCCATTCCTAATGGCAATTTTAAATAAACTTCCTAATTTATGTGGGATGTTACAAAGGGACGGTGTGGATAAGTTAAAGATTTGAAGTTGATTGGTAGTCTCATATATGTTGCAAGTTGCACTAGACCTGACATAGCCTTTACAGTTGGCATTCTGAGTCGTTTCAGTAGTAATCCTAGTAAGGAGCATTGGGATGCCCTCGATAGGCTGATGAGATATCTTAAAGGTACTAAAGATTATGCTCTACACTACTTTGTTATCCTTCAATTGTGGTTAGATATTCCGATACGTCATGGTGTTCAGAAATCAGAAATAGTAAGTTCACCAGTGGATATGTATTCACTTTGGGTGGAGCTACTATTGCTTGGAAATCCAAAAGATATACTTGTATTGCATTGTCGTCTATAGAATCAGAACTTTTTACTTTAGCCTTAGCCGGTGAAGGGGCAAAGTGGATAAAGAATCTGATTATGGATATTCATTTGACTCGGCTAAAGATTAATTCTTTAAGCCTATTTTGTGATAATTAAGCAGCTATCCAAGTTGTTAAAAATGCTCTCTTTAATTCAAAGAGAAGACATATAAGATTGAGACATGCGTTGTTGAATTATCTGAAAAAACTAGGAGTTATCACCTTGATCGATGTGAGATCGAAGGATAACTTGGCTGATGTCTCGCAAAAGATATGCCTAAAGATCGATTATTCAAAACAGTGGGGGGAAATGGGGTTAAAGACTATATAGACAAGTCTTAATTACCATTTACTTACCTTTTAATTATGTGTTTTGAATTATCGAATCTTTCTTTTGTTGGCCAAAATGATAATCACTGTTTATATGTTTCATCGATGTTCATGGTTTCTGATTAATTTGAAAAGGGTAAGTTGTCTCATTCCAAACTTGATGAAGATAACTTGAACCTAATTCAATTGTTCTACTTGGGAAACTTGTGTTCTTCCAAACTTGATGATACAATCCAACCAGGTTGGACCATCCTTTTGGTTAAATGATCTCATTCCAAACTTGATGCTAGATTATTTGACTTTGAGGAATCAGTAATTGTGACATTCCAAATTGAAACATTGAAATAATAGTTTGCATAAGAAGCCTGTGGGTCTTGTTCTTAATTGAAACTTAACATCACATGACTAGTTTAGTGTAAGTGACTTGACTATTGGTCCTGTTCATTGAAACTAGACAATGGTTATTCTCTTACAAATAAACTTAAGTTGATGGCTCTCTGCAAAATAAACTGTTTAGGCCTTCTTCATAATTTATGAAACTGGCTTGATGCTTATGAACATGATATTACAATGTTTTATGACATTAATATATGTCTTCTTTGCATGATGATATGGTTCTAAGTTCTTTTAGTAGAACTAGACATCTTTGGTAGATTATTCAACCGATTGAATTCATAATAATATGAAATTCATATTTGATATTCTATGAGGATGGTAGAGATGAAGGAGAGCTTAATGAGAGAGATCTTGACTAAGATCACCTCCTTGATGAATGAATATATTATTTAGACTATGTAGGGACTTGACAATTCACCCTCTATTGCCCATTTTGATGGAGTTCATTTATTTGAGACTTACATTTTGCTATCTTTATTTTATGAACATTGTTGATTGTGAACTGATTTTGAGACTTATTTTGGATGTTGGAATTTGGATGAGTTTAGATTGAATCTAAAACTCTAAATATTTATTTTAGTATGTTGTTCTCAGAACAGATTCATGATAATGATGATTTTTTTATTTAAATTGAAAATGACGATTGAGTTTAATATTTTACCGTTAAAACTCTTTGATTGATCCGAGTTAATTGTCTTGGACTGGATATGAATGATTCATATTTGTTTGAATATTACATTGATCACTCTATTGGATTGTGCTATATGGTGAACATAGGAGGAGATTCTTGGATATATTAATAATATAATCAACAATAGTATGTTCACATATAAGCCCAATAAGTGAAAGCATGATTATTTGGGTCCATATGGGCTGGAGCCCAATAGCTTGCATTATCTCTAGGGTTTCCTCAGCTGGAGGTAACATTGTTGAGCATTTCAAACTTGATATTTCTTAATGTAATACTTCAAGCACCTCTAAATCCTTAAATCTAAAACTCATTACCTCGAACACCTCATCCATCGAGTTCCGGTGGTATTTCTGTAATTGCCTTTGACACTTCAATTATCTGAAATCATTAATCATCACAATATTAAGTATTAATGCCAAATACAAATCCTAATAAAAATAATAATTGGTGATTGAGGGAAGAAGAAGAGTTAAATTTGCTCTAGCGTGCAGCAAAGAAATTAAAGCAAAAGCTATTTTGTTCAAACGAATAGCAATGAAGGTGATTGTTGAGAAGGGGATCGAGAATTTTCGCGATAAAATAGTAAGTTATTGAGAAAAAAAAAAAATTGTAGTGTGAAAGGGAGAGGTCAAAAAAATGTGTAACTTAATTTGATATTTTTGACACAGGCCAACACCATCCAACCTGGTAAATAAGATGGCTTTAGAGGGTTAGGGCCAAATAGGTCCTATTATACAGAGAGCAGAAAGTTAATACGACTTTACACAGCAGTGTATGGGTTGGTCCTAGTGCTAAAGAGCTATTGACAGCTCTATGTCAGTATAACTAATTATAATTATAATTATTTATAATAGAATAAGTTTAATATTTGGATATATTAACTTAAAAGTGAGTATAGGATAATTTGCTTAGTTTGAACTTTCTAATAAAATCTCTTTTATATAGTAAATAACAAAAAATGGTATAACGTTATTTGTTTATATTAATGTTTGATCAACCGTGGTGATGGGAAAAATGATAGTTGTCACCAAAATAATCAGATAAATTATATTCTACAATGCTAAAAAAGTATGTTTTTTATTATGAAAAAAATAATTTATTTAAAAAAGTGATTCTTTATTTAAAAATATTTCTTTCGAAACATGCTTTCAGATTTGATAAATAAAAAGAAAAAGTATATTGTACCAACCAATTAGTATTATTACCAATGTTACTACCAAACAATTGTACCGTCAGATCAGTTATATTGATCAAATGGTTATATTTATTTTCATCTTTGTATGGTTATGATTCTTTATATTTAATACTTTATATTTATTTTCACTTTTGTATGGTTATGATTTCTCATATTTAATACTTTCATATTAAATATAGAGAATCATAATCATACTAAACATATAAAAATAAAAATAAATATAATCGTTGAATCAACATAATCGATCTAACGGTGAATTAATTGATAGTAACACTAATTGGTTGTACTATTCCAAGTAAAAAAAGCTTATGTGATTTACTCAATATCTTGTGAATGAATTAATGAATCTCCACAAAAGCTTATCAAATTATTATTTTTTAAATTATATTAGTTTGTTTGAACAGGAAACTTACAGGGTGTTTAGGAAGCAAACTCGAAAGAAAAGAAGAAGGAACAAAAAGGTTTGTAAAGCGGGCATAGATGTACTCATTGCAACGACAAGTATCAAACATAAATAAAATAAAACCCCACCATGACGAGGATTATGCACCAACAACAAGCATAACTCTCGAAACGCTCTCCAACTCCACCGTGATTTTGCCACGTGTCCCCACACACCGACCTTGCAAACTCATCCAATCGAGACGGTACACCTCTCCACGCCATTGCGACCGTTACAGTGTGTCTCGCGCATCTTTTGCACTGTCCTACTTTAGCTTTTCAAGTGTGGACTCTCTACAAACTCATTTGGTCGGTTACACAATTACCCAAATCGTACCGTGATTCCGTTTTTACTTTCTTAATCGCGTGAGATACGCGTCATGCCAAGTATAAAATGCTGTCCTCCTACCTTTGCAAACCTAAGCATCATCAACATTCTTCGTTGCACACACAATTCACACTTTATAACTTGCACTGCCAGCTACCTAGCCACACAGTTCCATCATCTTCTGTTTAAGTTTATCAGTGATTATGGCTGAGGAGAATCAGAACAAGAGCCATGAGTACGACACTACTACTGAGGTTGAGATTCAAGACCGTGGAGTTTTCGATTTCCTGGGGAAGAAAAAGGAAGAAGAGAAGCCTCAGGAGGAGGTGATCGTCACCGAGTTTGACAAGGTTAAGGTTTCTGATGAAACCGAGGGAGAGAAGAAGCACAGCCTCTTAGAGAAACTTCACCGATCCAGCAGTAGCTCCAGCTCTGTAAGTTTTTTTTTTTTTTTCTTCTTCTTTTAATTGCATGCATGAAAGAATTAGTGCTGATGAAGATTGAAGACACAGTCCTATAGCGTCTAATTTAAATCAGTCAGAATGTCTTGATCATATATATATATATATATATATATATATATATATATATAAAGTGGAGTACATTCTTACAAAATAAAAATTCTTATATCAGATTTTGATAATTAATTTATATATAAATCAATTATTTAGTAGATATTTGAGAATGTCCTCAAATATTTAATAAATCCGAACAGTGATATATAAATATATTTTATTATGGTAAAATCATTTCTACAACCGCTTTATTTACATTAAAAATAGGTGTATGGTAATAATTCTTCACATTTAATGTTTTCATCTTTTGTATGGTTATGATTCTCTTTCTCTCTCCGCCACATCAGACATCAGCCTGAACAACTTTATTGTTATAACAACTGGTCAGACTTAGTTAAAAATGATAGCTTAGATAATCTTAATCTTATCTAAAGTAGTTCGAGAAATATTTTTTCATTTATATATATATATATATTTATATAAATGTTATAAGATTTATTATTTTAATGTGGTTGATACATATGTTTGCAGTCGAGTGATGAGGAGGATGAAGGAGAAGGTGGGGACAAGAAGAAGAAGAAAAAGGAAAAGAAAGGGCTGAAGGAGAAGATTCAGGAAAAGATAGGATGTGATCACAAGGAAGAGAAGGAGGAGGAGAAGGAGGACACGGCGGTTCCAGTTGAGAAAGTGGAGGTTGATCCGGCACACCTAGAGGAAAAGAAAGGTTTCCTCGACAAGATTAAGGACAAATTGCCAGGTCAGCACAAGAAGATAGAGGAGGTGCCCCCGACATCATCAGAGTATGATGCTGGCCACACTCATGAAGTGGAGGCCAAGGAGAAGAAGGGTCTTTTAGAGAAGATCAAGGAGAAGCTTCCTGGTTATCACCCCAAGCCAAATGAAGAGAAAGAAAAGGAAAGCGGTGCTCATTGAGATTGAGACCCTGTTTTGTTCACAATTAAGGATGATTGTGGTGTGTTTTGTTTAATTTCATCATGGGCTTATTGTATTGTTGGTGTATCTGTCTATATTTCCTCTTTTTCATATGTTGTTTGAACTTTGAAGCATTGTTTTTAAAAAGTATTGAAAAAAAAGGAATGGAATTCTATGGATTTTATTTGTGTAGGGTATTAGAATTTCTCTTAAATAGTTGTTATGTCTATATTTTCGATAAACTAGAAGGAAACAGGAAATTAGACAACTCCTACCTATTAATTTATCGTGGTAGTTAAACTCAAGCATAGAAAGATTTATATTTAGTTTGAGGCACTAAGGAGAAATAAAAATAGCGACATACCGCTACGAATAATCCTGTTGCCAATGAGAGATCCTCAGAATGTTATCAGCAACAAGCCAAAGTATTCACTCTGAAGATCTTTATAATTAGCGGTTAGAGCTGTCAAAAAGGCCCTAACCCATGGGCCACCCCTATAAAATGTAACACCTCGTATATATCCGGTTTGTTATCATATCATCGTATTAAGCTATGTTTAATTAAAAATGCGGAATATCTTTTTCTTTTCAATTATGACATCATTATCATTACCAACTTGCTTAATTAATCAATTAAATAAAACCATGCCTGTATGTAAATTACAAAAGACAGCTAACTGAAATACCTCATTAATTATAATAACAGATATATATCTCTAGTCACGGAACTACAACACGTAGACCGGACCACCTAGCAGTTTATACAACTCAAGCTAAAAGTACTAACAATATAGTGGCATGGACAACTCTCATGCTCACCCAAATAAGGCAACAAAGCCCAACATAAGTCTCAACTCAATAATCATAAATGACAGAAAACATACACATCATCCAATCCAGTCATGCCAGCATAAATAAAACAGCAATAATAATCAACTAAGCTCTGGCCTCCTGCTGCCAGAGGCATCAGTCCCCATACTACCTGAACCTGAAATAAGCATTCCCCAAACGTGGGGTGAGATCTCTAAACAAGAAATCTCAGTAAGACAAGGGGTCCTCAAGGATCTTCCACCCCAAGCTCACTTACATGTGCAATATAAGTAAGTTCTAAAAGCAGTAATTCAATATCAGTTCCAAAATCAGTGCAATGCAACAGATATTCATGTCATGTGTGTTATAACAATTCTACTGATCAGAGAAATGCAGGAATACGTCTATTATCCACATAAATACCAGCCCATAATGTACCCGCCCACAGGAATACCCCATGGAATCCTGTTTAGACGGAACACCACATACATATCATATAATAGTATTTGCACTTAACAGTTCAGCGGCATTTCAGCAAAACAATACATGAAAACACATCATGCATATAAACCATCCCCCCATGGAGTATGGTGGAACAGACAATGGCTAAACCGAGGACACGAAAGCTTACCTTGCAAGCTAGCTATCCCAGCCAAGAGTCCACAATACCTCAGAGTCCACAAACAGCAAGATCACAATCTGATTTAGGACCAGCAAGCATATCAATAAACATAGCTCATAAGCATAAACATAAAGACTACGCTTTTCTTTTTACGTTTTACGTCTTAAGGCTTCCCACAAAGCCGCAAGCCCTAAATCCCTTGATTCTGACTTATATTCATTATTATAGAAGTACCTCATCGTCATACTAGGGTCCGCAAACCCATACAAGCCTTCTGTATGAACAGTGCAGCCACTGTTCTTCGAAAACCCAGAATATTCGGATATATGTCGGGGGCATATCCGGATATCAATATCCGGATATCTCTCTGCCAATATACGGATATCAATATCCGGATATTCAGATCCCCATAACCGGATATCAATATCCGGATATCATATCCGGATATTTCGCGACAGAATGCAGTTCTGCATTTCGCGAGATATCCTTCCAAAGGTTGGATTTTTAACCCATTCTAACGTCCAAGCATGCATGTTTAACCTCTTTAAGTTCATGTAACAGTTGGTTACTTGTTTAACTCATTAAACATGCCAAGACACCTCTTTTAATCATTAAAACTCATGATCAAGGTTGGTGACACTTACCAAAGCTCAAAATAGAGAAAGAATGGATCTTGGAGCTCACCACACTGCCTCTCAAGTTCTGACTTGGTTCAAATACGAAAATACCACTCAAGCAAGGATCTTTCTCCACAAAGTTTGCTCCTTGGAGCTCCAACAACCAAGGAAGAGGCTCACAACACCCACACAAGCAACTCAGCCCACAAACTGACTCCACACAGCCACCACACTCAGAAAAGGTGCTCCTTTCACACTCACAAATATCTCTCCCACTCACCCAAGGTACAAAGTGAAGAGAAATGGAAAAAAAGAGGTCACAAGGCTCACAAAATGATGGAGAAGCAATGGAACAGTGAACTAGCAGCTGACTAGCCCCAAGACTCACGTAGGATCAGTATTATGGCCTAGGGTTTTATGCTAACAAGCCTATATATAGTCACTTAAGAATTAAACACACAGTATTAACATTAATTTCTACGCTTAGCATTTTAATCCCAAACTCAGGATTCTGAACCTACTTCATTTTACAAGAATTATCATATTTTTATTTTATTTTTCAGAGCATCTTTCCGGTACGCGCTTTTCATAGCCATTATCAGTTTCTGGCACCAGTTTTCATTATTTTAACTTGAAACTTGTTTTACTAGTCCTGTTTAATATTCTAGGAATTATCATGCATTTATTATAATTTTCCGGGATACTTTTTCGGTACGCATTTATACCGAGTAGCAAAATCGGTATCTGCATTTTTCGTCCGAAAAGCGACTTTCAGCATTATCAACCACTTTCTATATTTATTTAAGTCTCATAATAATTATTAGGGTCAATTATGGAATTATTTTCTAATTTCACATAATTAATTAATTACTTCCTTAATTAACGGTGCGGGTTCTTACATTTACCCCACCTTTTTAAGATTTTGTCCTCAAAATCAGAAACATACATGTCCCGAAACTCAGGGTACTGCCGGAGAAGCTCGTCCTCTCGCTCCCAAGTACACTCCTCAGGAGTTCTTCCTGTCCACTACACTTTGACCATCAGAATGATCTTGCTCCTCAGTTGCTTCTCGCCACGATCGAGAATCTTGAGTGGTCCGACGGGAGTTATCAAGTTCTCTCGAACCTCCACATCATTCGGCTGCACCACGTGCGCAGGATCCGCTACATACTTCCGAAGCTGAGACACGTGAAACACGTCGTGGATGTTGGCCAAGTTCGGAGGCAAGGCAAGCCGGTAGGCAATAGGTCCTACTCTACCAAGAATCTGGTATGGCCCAATAAACCGCGGGCTCAGCTTCCTCACTCCGAGTTCCCGTCCAACACCGGTGACAGGTGAAAGTCTCACAAACACGTGCTCACCCTCACTGAACTCCAGTGGACGATGCTTAACATCGTAATAGCTCTTCTGGCAGTTCTGCGCCTGCTTCAGCTTTTCCCTGATCATCTGGATTTGCAGGGTGGTATCTTGGACAAAGTCCAAGCCAAAAAACTCTCTATCTCAAATCTCAGACCAACAGGTAGGAGTACGACATCTCCTACCATACAACGCCTCGTAGGGTGCCATGCCTAGGCTAGCATGAAAACTGTTGTTATACGGAAACTCAACCAAGGGCAGATACTTATCCCATGCTGAACCCTGCTCCAATGTGCAAGCCCTCAACAAGTCCTCCAATGTCTGGATGGTTCGCTCAGTCTGTCCATCAGTTTGAGGGTGATAGGTTGTACTTAGTCTCAACTGCGTACCAAAAGCCTCCTGCAGCGCCTCCCATAACCGAGATGTGAACTTCGGGTCCCTATCACTAATGATACTCTCAGGCACCCAGTGAAGCCTCACAATCTCGCGAACATACAGTTTGGCCAACTGCTCAGTAGTGAAGCTCACCTTCACCGGAAGAAAATGGGCAGACTTCGTCAATCTGTCCACGATGACCCACATCGAGTCATAACCAGCCTGAGTCTTCGGCAATCCCACCACGAAGTCCATGGAAATGCTATCCCATTTCCATTTCGGAATCTCAAGAGGTTGCAGTTTACCAGACGGCTTCTGGTGTTCTATCTTCACCTTCTAGCAAACTAAGCACTTGGACACAAAAACATCTATGTCCTTCTTCATGCCCGGCCACCAATAGTTTCTCTTCAAGTCCTGATACATCTTGGTAGCACCAGGGTGGACAGTAAACTGGCCCTTATGAGCCTCTGTCATCACCTCAACAGTCAACGGACCTCGAGGAACCACAATCCTCTTCTGAAAGGTCAACAACCCATCCTCATTCCAAGACACTCTGTCTTGGTTCTTCACATAATCAAGGCACTCTCCATGCACTTGCGCCTCCTTGATCTTTTCCATGAGCTCGTTCTCCACTTGCACGGTTTCCATTTCGAGAAGTGCACCCCCAAACAAGGAAGTCACTGTCAGATCTCGAAACTGCTCAATGATGTCATAATCTCCCATGGTCAAACTGGATAGGCTCATGGATTTCTGACTCAAAGCATCAGCTACCACATTGGCCTTGCCAGGATGGTACTTCAACTCAAAGTCGTAGTCTTTCAGATACTCCATCCATCTTCTCTGTCTCATGTTCAGCTCTTTCTGATCAAACAAATACTTTAGGCTCTTGTGATCACTGAACACCGCAAACTTCATTCCAAACAGGTAATGCCTCCAAATCATGAAAGCAAAAACAATAGCAGCCAACTTCAAATCATGAGTCGGGTAGTTCTCCTCATGAGGCTTCAACTGCCTCGAAGCATAGGCGATAACTCTGCCCAACTGCATCAACACACATCCGAGCCCCTTTCCAGAAGCGTTGGTGTACAACTCAACTTCCTCAGCAGGATTAGGAAGTACCAACACAGGTGCAGTAGTCAGTCTCTCCTTCAACTCCTGGGAACACTCCTCACACTCGTGAGTCCACACAAATGGAGTCTCCTTGCGGGTAAGGCGAGTCAATGGCAGAACCAGCATGGAAAATCCCTTGATGAACCTTTGGTAATACCCTGCTAAACCCAGAAAACTCCTCACTTCGGTTACCGTCTTGGGCCTCTCCCAATCTAGAACGGCCTCAATCTTGTTCGGGTCAACTGCAACTCCTTATGCAGAAATCACATGGCCAAGAAACTT